GTGTGTATACATGGTGTGGGACACGAAATATATAGCAGGATCTACCTCTGTATCTCTCTAATTAAAAAGGATATGTATATATGTAGATATATATTATAATATATTGGAGGAAAGGGTTGATGATGAGAAGAAATTGAGGAGAAAATAATGAAGGATGGGGTAGAGACATAGAAATAAGGGAGAAAAGAAAGAAAGGATGGCATCAAATCCATGTTTCACAAGTACTAAACAAACACCAATTTTCTTCACTAAAAAACCCTTCCAGTAGTTGGGAAACAACTCATTTTACCACTACTAAACTGGCCCCTCCACACCCATCTTCATATATCATTCAATATTATTTGTATATACTCCTTATACATGCACCATTTCTTTAATATAAACATACATATACACACACATACTCCTTCTCACGCCACCTTATTATGATCATATACATAACATGGATCCATAAAATACAAATGAAATTATATCATATCAAATTTGTGCCTTACCAGCACTACACGTGCCCGCCCATACCACTAGATCGCCTCCGAGCATATTTTGTTGTGGGCATTATGTCCCTTTGCTCTCACACTAGATCCCTTTAATATTTTTAATCTTTTTACATTTCCACCACCATTAATATGTATCTATACATTTGTTCTAAGTAAATTTCCAACTTTTCATGAATCATGCAATATCAAACCAATTTTTATTTTATTATTTTTTTTTTCTCTCTTTTCTCTTTTTATAGGTACCGACCTTTAAATCATAATAAATAAGTATTAATTGGGTAAGTAGGTGTGGAAGTGGAAAAAATTCATTTATTATTTCATTTTTGTATTTGTTAATTTAATTATATGCATGATATACTGTGTTTTATATGGTTAAAGCCTACATCTAATAGATATTTATACACGTGAAGATATAAGAGGCAGCATAACATAATATAACATGATGATAATTGTTGAAAAGAAAAATCTTTTCATTTAATATTTTGATAAATATGAAAGTTATCTTTATACAAAATCAAACTCATATTGTTAAGTTGATGGAACATAGAATAGACAACAAAAATTATAATATTATTATTATATAATACAGATCCAGAGAAAATTAATTGTATGAAAGTTCTATTTTATATATCTAACTATTATCATTGTTAATTGAGTTTTTCGTACAAGTAATTTGATTTCAAATTCTTAGAAGAGATATGAGAAGCTATATTTTTTGGAAAGTAATTTTTGGAACTAATCAACAAATTGGGGTAAAAAACTATATTAGAAATAAGCATTAAAGGTACAAGGTTTAATCACTTTAAATTCCTTGTACCTTCAATCTTTAGTTGATAAGTTATGTTATCTCAAGATTTCATAGTTCTTGCTAATCCAATTTTCTGCAATGATATATACTCGTATTCTTGGATAATTTTCTTTGAAATATATTCTTTTAGTAAGTAATAAAATTAATTTCTATGAAACAAAATATTGTTTATCTTGTTCTTTGTTATAAAAGAGCAAGTAGTTTAGAGTATTAATTTTTTTCCTACTTTTAATTCTTGTCAATTCAACAAGCTAGATTCTTGAAGAAAATTAAGTCAAAAAAGAGCCAAAACAAGTGTATAAAGAAAGAAAAAGACTACTAGAACCTGTCTAATCAAATTTCGCAAAGATTTTTTTTCTTTTAGCTGAAGAAATCTTTTGAAGCTTTTAATTTTCTTCTTGATTTTGAGTACATTAATGCTATACTTAAAAAGAGAGTCCAAGTCAAAAAAAGTGGGTTGTGTAAGTACGGGCTCTTCTGTGTATGACCTTGTGGTTGCAAGGTAATGGCCAGTACATTTTTGAAACAGCTACACTTGCTATTGTATTCTCATCAATATCATGTTGTGCATTTCAGACCAAAAAAAAAAAAGAATTGGATTGTGCCTAAATAATTGAAAGACATTTTAACTTTGTTGAGAGACTAAGTCAAAGGGTATTGGTTCTGTCTAAATTATTAAAAGTAGAAAGAACTAATTCTACACAAGCCACTTTAACCATTAAAAATATAATCTATTGATACTCAAAATTAAACTTGTACTTATCATGTTTCATTAACAGCATTTGCGACACTATTCCTATACAATAAATCTTATTTACCTTTAAAAACAAAGATAATATAATGTGTTTAGTTATACATTAGCTTACCAATATATCTTGCAATCTTTACATTAGTGAAAAATCAAAATTTTGGCTAATAAGAGTCAAGGTAGTAGGACATAGGTTATTTAAATATCAAATTACTATAAATTATTGTGACTATTTTATATCTTTTACTCTATTTAATTTATTTCATTGTTGATTCTTCTTATAAATTTTGAAATATATATTGCTCTTTGTATAACTTATTCTCTAACCTCCTTTAGGTGATAACAATTTGTGCTAATAATAATAAGTTAAGCACATGTTCAGTGTATGTTGGGACTTTAATACTCTCTTTCAAACTAGCACATGAAGAACTCGAAGGTTTAAGTTCAACGATAGAATAATCAAAGTGAATTGTAACTCATTATCTTGATGTACATATCTATAAGTTGAAGATTACTATGAAATATATTTGTTTATAGTATTTTTAGATAAACGTTTATCTCAAATAAGATAAAAATTTATTTTTAAATATTTACTTTTTTATGAAAAAAATTAGATTATATGATATATAAAGAACAACTTGAGTATCACAATGAAACATGTAAATTTTATTGCACATTTAAATCATCAATTCTTTTGTCGTATTTATAAAATTTTACTGTAATAAGATCATAAATTTTATCATACTAAGCTAAAATTAAAAAAAAAAAAAAACTTATTATTCTAATAAAAATAAAGAAACTAGTTACTTATCTCTTAATTATTAGACTATTACCCAACCTATTTATTGTTAGAGTGAGTTTGAAATACGATGTCATTTAATGAAAGACATAATAAAATTGAAATATGAACTAATTTTTCAAGAAAGGCGCAAGAATAGAGAAACAATATCGAAACAATTTTATTGAGGTTATTGCATACATCTACTCAAAACGTGGATTGAATATTTTATTTCAATCTTTATGATTGTTAATGAAGTTACTAAATTATGAGGTATCTGTACCAATTAAGATTTGATAACATTTTGGAATTGTTAGAAAGCTATTTTTATAGTTCTTACATGACAAAAATGAACATATAGCAAAAAAAAAAAAAAAACATGTTAGTTTTCCTCTAAAATATTTTATAAAAATGTTTTCTTTTTGTAAATGAAATGTTGTTTGGAGATGGAGCTACTCTCGGGCCCAAGAAAGACTTCAACTACTGAATTTCTTGAGATGAAAGGTGGTATGACGATAACCATTCAACTTTTGAGATGATTGTAATCATTATTTGCAAGAATGAAGTTGCTTATGCATATAAGCATGACTATGAATACGTAATCATTGAGCAGTGAATAATATATATTTATATATTATATTATATTATATTATGCATATAATAATGATACATGTGACATATTTTCAATTAGTAACTATTATATTCTGGCCAATATTAGATTGGATCTCGTTGACCACTTCCATATTCAATTATAACATGTAATCATGCATCTAACTAATTAATGTATAATTGATTGATTATCAAGAATGTCAAATTTTCTGAACGAGTGGAAAGATAGAGATGGTCTTCATGAGAATGTCAATTTCAGACAAAAATTAATATAGTGAGAGGATTATATTCCACACTTGTTATTTCTATTTCTTCTTTTTTTTTTCTTTTTTTTTTTTTGTGGCATTTGGCTTCCAATAAGAATTAAAGAGAAAAACACTAATCACATTGACTAAACGAACTGATGAGAGCCTCCCCAAACATATACAGACAAGACACTCGTGAGCACAAAGAATCTATCGTAAAGAACATATAATTTAATTTTAAAGACTGATCAACGTACAGTCGTAAATTGAAATATGAGGGTATTACAGTTTACCCCCCCGTGGTAAGTAATTATGATCTGTGCGTACGTACAGTGATCGGATGAATGGCATGCAGAGGTTGATTTTACTTCATGTACATTTGTTTGCTTTTCTACATTCTCTTTGTTACAAAATTTACGTTTAAATAAATATATTTAATGTAAATCATTCATAAATTATATGATAACATGAGAGGTGTAGTTCTTAATAATAGTGAAATATTATATATATTTTATGGTAAAATGATTTATTAGTCTAATTTGAATATAGGGTGTAAACTAAATGAAATCTTTCCATTTAAGCATTGTATTAAGTATATATATATATATATATATATATTGCACGTACACTCATCTTTGTTTTTCCAAGTACTGAATAACTTTGGTCAGAGTACTATGTTTACTCGTGAACTTTTTACATAAACCGAAGGCATTATATTATTTTAATTATTATTATTATTACTATTATTATTATTATTATTATAAATAATTAAAAAAAAAAAAAAAGAAACGAACAATGTTAGCAAAGATTTTGTACCCTCAACCCTGACAAGAAGAAGTAATGATATGGGTCGGTGGCAAATCTTCATGTAGGATTGTGAGAAGTAAGATACGATTAGCAACAGTTATCAAATTAATTGTAGAATCAACTGTGAATTTAGGTTTAATTAATTATTTACATGTTATTTATCGCTGTCTGAATACTATTCATTCATGTGTGTATATGTATACGTCTTTTTGAAATAACTATATATTTGATATTTCTGAAGTAGATCTTTTTTGAGATTTTAAACTATCCTCCCAAAAGACAAAGCATAAAACAAGAAATATATACTTTGAATTTTGAACCAAAATCTTCATACTCCCTACTTAACCAGTTAAAAAATATGTTAATGTTTGTCTATATATATATATATATATATACATATATATGTTTGTTTAAAGATTATATACATTCACGGGTATACATCTGTGCAATCAGGGATGGGGAAGTCATGCATATAACACGGAGATTTAATGAAATATCTGGAATTACAGAAATCATATTAAAGTTCTATCACAACTAGCCATCTGGAATAAGTTAATTATGTAATATATAATTACATACAACATACCCTTGAATTAATATATATTTATACATATATAAATCTCCTGGTGTGATGAGTGCACAAACACAAACAGGGGATTACTGATGATAATAAGTGGGGTAAGAAGACAGATGTTGAAATTAATGACGGACTGTCTTCGTCTTCCTAAACCTTTCCAATGCTTCTGTTCCAAAATCAAATGCTGTCAGTCTTTCTTCTCTGGTCAGGTGACAGTGATGATGATGAAGATGAATACTAAAATCCAAATTCATCTAAAACTCCACCCACCTGAAAATCCAATGTGTCTCAGTGGTCCTAATCCATCAACCAAAACCAATAAAAATATTTTAAAATCTGGTAAGAAGACCGGATAGCCTCACATGTTGGCTTTCAGTTTATAAAGGCATTAGGCAGACCCAAGCTCATCGCTTCAGACCTTTTCCTAAGTTAAGTCCTAATCAAAAAGCCTTGACTGGTCTACCATTTCAGCAGCTCAGGATAATTTGGTCAGTCAATATATCAACATTTATATGAGGTGGATATACTGTTGCTCCCTGCATCACTCACGTAATCAACAACACAAGTTACCCAAAACAGAAAAGAAATATGAAGAAACAAAAACTTTAAAAGAGACAACGGCATGCTTAATGGATGTCTGACAACGTGAGTCAATGGTGATTATTAAAGAAATAGGAAGAGAATGAGAATGGTTTAGTTAATGATCTTAGATGATTAAATTAGCTAACCTAATGGCCTAATATGCTGCAATACATATGTCATCTTCTCCATTAATGAATATTGATGATGACATAACTTTTCCGCGTCTTTATGTTCACATCAGTTGCTATCCTACTGGTAGGTGAGCCTGGAGTTGGAAAAGTTGACCAAGGTCTGATTTCACACTAAAGCAATTAACATCTTCCTGTAATTTGTCTTGATTCCAACTTTCAAGAACCCTATATACAGTGTACATATACTCAGTTTCACTAGCTTTAGACTGATTACCACTTCCCTGTTTCTGTCTGGATCTGTAAAACATTGAGATGATTAGTAAATTCTACCAAGTGATAGACATCGCATGTTAATGTATACTTGTTAACGTACGAGTTCATATTCCAACTCAAGATCCAAAGAAATCAACCAAGAACAACTTTCTATCACAAGTCAATGGTCAATCTGGGGACCATCCATTAAAAACAACACACTCAAGATCCATAGCAGCATAATAAGAATAGACCAAAAATTCAAAGCTTAATCTTCCATAGTAGGATTCCAGCTGGGTGTCTGAAGGCTAATAGTTATAGTTATGGACACGGAGTGTCCTTGGATTCATTCAACAGTATAAAACAGTGTTATTGCACAGTAGAAACATATTTGGAAGTCGTATAAACTGTATCCCTCTTCTTTTGAGCATAAACGGACATGAATTCAATAATAATCTGAGCAATGCCATTGCTGCATAATCTGTTCTCAATCTGAAGCGATCCAACAAGGTTAAAAAAAAAAAAAGGGAACAATATTTTATCACTTCGACTGTTGATATTCACACTCATTTTTATTACTCAAGTATTTATAGAAAAAGGGCAAAGAAAGAATGCAATATATATAAATAATACATATCACACCTCTCATATTTTAAAGAAAAAAAATACTTTCAATCATATGTTCGATGGTGGATATGTTCCGTACGTAAACTCAATAAATCACCATGAGTACTGGTCTAGGCCTCTTTCCCTATGGGTATGCTCCACATATTTCAGCACAATATATATATATATAGACAGCAATAATGCAAAGCAACAACTTACAACAATCATTATCACCGTTAATCCAGCAAGTTTATGAAGTTGCAATCAATCAATCATTCAATCAACACAGACTTTATCAGATAAAGCTTATCACAACTAAAAGGAGATGCTTGAATGACGGGCATTATGTTAGATAAATCCCAATTCAGAAGCACCCAAGAGAAATACAGTGACAAAATAAATCCCATCAAGCACAGGAGATTCAATGAGGCCTGAACTTGAAGAACTTTACTCGGCACATACTTAATTCACCAAAACATTCATCTTTTAATTTCTTTCCCTCTTGTTCCATAAGTCAACACACTTTACACCACCTGCTAATCGGATTCCATAATAATGATATCTAATATCCTTAATGTATCTGCAACCTTCTACTACAGTAGTGTTATAAAAACGACCTTGCTTAAAAATTGAAGATCATCAACTTCATTTTCCTCCCTCTTTCACTTAATAATAATAACCAAGGTAGTTGACTATAGCTGTTCATGCACTTAATTTAATGATTTGGTGCAGTTAATCCACTCATGAGACTGCAAAGCAGATGAGTGCTTGCTGCCACCCCTGTGGATGGGAAGCTAAATGCATTCAGACATCGCCAAGATACAAATACTACAAAATGATGTTCTAGCTGGTTTCTTAAGAAACCATGTCAAGTTTATGAGACAAAATGGACTAACACAACAAACATACTATCTTTAAATGAACATGCCATTATTTCTCAGCGAAAGTATTTTATTTCAGAATTATAATTCAGCTTAGTTTGGCATTTGAAGGTTGTAACCCCATGGAAAAGATTGGATAATTTCCCTCATCCGTCAGAGCATGACCATTTAATAATTAGATGGAACCATTAAACAATAAATTAGCATGCATTTAACAGCAGTTAACCATGTGTCTCCTCAGCTTTCAACAGATCAAAAAGTTCACCATCCAGAAGTCTTGGATGGTCTGGAAACAGGGCAAAGTCTCGAGAAAGTAATAAGAAGCACAATTCATTAATAGAGGAGGGTCTTATGACTCATTCATACAATGGGCCAAAGCTGAAGTTATATAACTAAAGTGCAGTTCACTTTTCAACTAGATATAGGCTTGCTTAGCCTGTTAACAATGAAGGATTCCTTCCAAGTCAACAATATCCCGTCCCGCTCCAAAACCATCTTCTGGCGATTTATAAATTCAACTTCGAGAGCCATAGATAAGCTTCAACTAGGATCCCTAGACAAACAATCAAGGACAACTCTCTTCTGGCCTTTTTCATAGAGATGACACAGGTTAGGATGAGTAATTACATAATAGCCATAGAAAAATCTCATGCCAAATTCCAGATGCTCAACCACTCACTCTCTGCCACCTTCCTTAAATGACTAGAAACTAACATAATAAATATACTACCACATTAGGATATAAATACTCCAGCTTCTCTAAGATTGCATATTGAGAAAGATAATAAATGAAAAAAGAAAAGAAACAACAGATGTTAAGTCCCTTAAGCAATATTAATTATGTTTGAGTCCAGAGAGTACCGTTTACCTCTGTATTTTTTTCACTTCGTGCTTTTTAGAATAAGATTATCCTTGAGGAAAATTGGTATTCCATGAAATAAAGGTGGAAGAGGGGGAAAAGAAAAACCCTTGCATCTTTAATTGTCCTTGTTTCTCCAGTTGGTATCTTCTTTGACTTAATCAGATATAATATTACAGCAAACCACAATTCATATTTCTTTAAAATTACCATGACTGAATAGTAACTTGATCATGTTTTGTTCATCCAAATTTGTTGAAAGCAACAATTAATCAATCAGTTCCTTGTATCAGTAAAAGTACGTATCTTCATGGAAAAGGTATTGTATATGACCCTTAGAAATGATATCACATTTGGGCTTTTACCATAAATAATTGTAGAAATTTGATGAAGGGAGAGGAATAATTTGGGGATTAGATTTCAGACTGAAAACCCAAGTCTGTTATTCCATTGATCTGATGCAAATTAAGAGTACAAGATATTTATAGTGCCTACAAATACCACCCTGTTGTGAATAATAAACTAATAGATAACTTGAAATATCCTTAATTTTAAAGTAAAATAAAAATCGTACCCAAATAACATTAAAAAAGATTCCAACTAGATCTGCAAGAAAATTCAAAAGACTCTTAAACTAATTCTGGAAAACCAACTAACAAAAATACTAATTACTAAGTTAGACCTAAACCATATTTTAATATACCATTTTGTATCATGCTCCCGCATCAATTCCTTCAGGGCAAAGAGAACTTGATTCCAACAAGAAAATCCTCTTCAGTTGCCTTCAGGCATTTAGGCACTTTCAGAATGTGGTTTTCTCAACCATTTGACAAACAATAGTTGAAAGAAACCCCCCCTAGAGATTCACTTCCTTCATATCAAGCACATCTTGAATCACTTTTATAGGCTTCTTGGTCAATTAAGCAGCCCAATTATCAACTGTAGGTTGTTCCCTACTGTCATCAAATCCACGGAAATCAAACAAATCTGCAACATTGAATATTAGGCTGAATTGAACTATCATATGGTCAATCCGCTATGTAAGCATCAGAACTAACCTTCATTACAGCCCAGCAAGGACCAAAATTTTTTTGGAGGATATAGGCATTAAAGGGCATTGAGGGGAATTCACACACAAAAAAATAGCTCCAACTCTCAAAGAGAAAGATCAATAAGATCAACGAAATCAGCTCATGGTATTGAGGGCAACCCTTGAACAAAATAGGATAGACCTAAGCTAGTGATCCAAACACAAGCAAAGGGAGAAGAAATGTATTCAAAAGCTTTATTTTTCTCTCTTTCCCAATGACCCAGACAATGACAAGGGTATGAGAGACATGAATTTCCTCCTAAATTTTTACGGTTGCAAAACCATTTTCAAGTCCATGATTCATCCTTTATAGAGCCACTAACAACCTTGCTGGGACCAACTTTTCCAGATTTAAGTTTATGATAAGTCTGTTACGGAAACTTTCATTCCAGAAATGCGCCATTATGTGATCACCCGTAGCAAACTCCTTGAACCTCTTGTGTCAATTTGCATTTTCCTCATAAAGTTCATCGCGAGTTCTGATTGCTGCCTACATCTCCTCACATATCTTTCTTGTGTGATCAGCAAAGCCATCACATCTTCACTAGCTTAGAAACAAATGGCAATTGAACAAGGTTAACTACATGCTGTGACTATGTCTATAGACAGCTTCAGATGGAGTCCTTTCAGTGGTGCACTACATAGAAGTCTTGAAGGGTAATTTTCATTAGGAACACTTAATGTCGTACCTTCACAAGTATCCTACAATACACCGTAAAAAGTTACCAGGACTCCTATCAGATATTTGCCCTCCATTTGTGCATGGAAGGTGGTTGAAAACAGAGTCGTCTTCCATTTCTCTCACTAAATGCCTTCAAAAGTGACCCACGAACTTCACATCCATGTCTGACACAATACTTTAGGGAAATAAGTAGAAACGTGCCACCTCTCTGAAAGATAATTCCACCATGTGGGAAGCATCAATATCAGAGTTCTAGAACATGGAATAAAATGAACCATCAAACAAAACCAATCAACCAATATAAATAAGGAACTGTAGCCTCTTGTTGTCTTTGGGAGTCCAGAAACAGAGTCCACGTTGAGATGAACTCACGGTCAGGTAGTTAGCAATAAGAGTGGCAAACCAGTGTTTTGTGACATACCCCACACCATCTCACCAACCTTTCTACATGTCACTCACCTTAAGCCAATAATCACCTTGCCACCACAGCCGAGTTCTTATCAAGTCCAAAATATCCTCCTAAGCCTCAATGTAATCCTGAATAATTTGCTCACCTTGAGAACCATCTGCAATTCACAATTCATTACCTCAAAACAAATATCAATCATGAATAATAAAAGGAATATACAAGGAACTTCGCGGCCTCTATAAATTCTTCATCACATGGGAGAGAAAGCAATCACTTGGGTACTGATTTTTCAGCTCCTCAAAGCCAATCACCTGAGCACATAGAGCATTCAGCAATGAATTCTTCAACTGAGTGCCTCTACTGCTTTTTGCTCACACTATTTATGCTTCAAGGTGGATGAAATTTGTATAACTTAGACTTATTTCCTTTGGAAATTAAGGTGTCAAAGTGCCTCATTATCTAAAAATACTATGAACTCCAGGTACAGTAGATGCGGTTGCTAACAAAGTAATAAATAACATATCAGTCAGGATCTTGATTTTAGCTTCAAAAAGCTATACCAACTGTCAATTTTGGTGTACATTTTCAGATTCATCGCTAATTTGTAATTTATGCATATCATGTTATATTATATCTATAGGCACTCAGGAGACACATATATAAGCATAATGATTAATAATAATATTATAACAAGGACATAACTATTTAATTTGAAAACTCATATTACACATATATCAACAAGATGATGTTTATTAAAAACATCAAACAATATAAATCATATCAAAATATTCAAAATACAAATATATTAAGTAAATAAAACTTATAAATTAGAAATATAGGACATGAGTAGCATACTAAGACAAAGACAAGAAAACTTAATTCAATGTTACAATAACTACCTCTTTAAGTCAATTTTGGATAACATAATGGATCTGGAGATTTGATCTAACATCTCATCCAACCTTCAAATGAGAAATCAATACTTGGTGATTTTGTCACTTGCATGACAATCCACAGAAAATCTCCACAAGATATCTTTCTTTGGAGCAAGTAAAACGAGTACTGCAAAGGCACATTTGCTTCCTTTACTGAAAAACTTAACCATTAATTCCTGAATTTGCCTTTGCATTGTAGCTTCTTATGCTGGCAGCATCTAATAGGCACCTTGATTAGGCAAGACTACACCGAGAACAAATCAATCACATGTTAATTGATCCTCATGGGACACAATCCCCTAGTCAGATCTTCACACACTACCTTATTAAATTCAGCCATAGATTCATGATTTGGGTGGATGGGGAGGTTCATCCTCCAATTGAACAAATTTGCAACACATTACATAAACAACTCCTGACGCTTTAGTTGCTTCTTTGCACTACTAAGGGTCTCCTTGTTCAAGGGTGCCAAGCAATCTTCTTATTATTCTTATGAAAGCTGCAGGTGTCTCCTCGAGTACTATGGTCTATATCTCAATCAAACAAAAAAGACAACCTAACCAATAAGATATAACAAGCATCCATAGCTAAGACATCACTTAGGATGATGCCAAATGGATATGAGCTAGCAGTTCCTAATATTAGGATTGTGGATAATTAAGATTGTGGATAATATTAGGTATTTAGTAGCTTTAGGATTATATTACAGCTTAAATATTATTAAGTTTTAAGTTTCTTATGGCAGAAATATCAAATTTCACTCTGCAGTTTCGGAAAATATTCAAATCGCACCTTGAAGTGTTTTTGATGCAAATCAACCTTGTACTAAGGTAGTTTTGTATGTAATTGAAGCGCATATAATTAATTGACTTGCAAGTACTGGCATTTTACCTTTGGATATCACACTTAAGAAAGTAACAATTGTTAGAAATAATACTTAATTTGTCAAAATGTAATGCTCTAATTAATTTTAATTACAATTAAAATTAATAAATAAATATAATTTTTTAATTTTTATTTATGGTAAAAATGAAGAAAATTAAATAGATGATGAAATTGAAAACAATTTTGAGAAAAATGGATAAATATTTGAGTTCTGCGAATATTTTTGAAAGAAAAATCGGAAACTGAGGGTTAAAACGCAATTTAAAAAAATTGTGCCACGTAGAACGCCCAATTAACAGCCCCGACGAACCGGAGCACGCCGCGTGACAAACGACGCTAATGCGGTACCATGCAGAAGGTCAGGCTGGCGATGCACGTGTCGCGATCGGACAGTCTGAATTTGTTTCCGCACGCACAGACGATCCGGATCTGTTCCCTTTTCAGACGCGATTCGACGATCACGATTAAACGCGATGAATGGTCAATATCCACTTCCTATTAAAACGCGATCGAATGACTCAAATCAAATTACGTCAAACGGTTCAGATTTACTCCCTATTTAATTACAATCGAACGGTAAAGATCAAACGCGATAGACGGCCCAGATTAAACGGAGATGAATATAAATAACCCTTTTCACACCAAATCCTAACCCTAGCCGCCAGATACCCTACTAGAGAAGAAGAGCCAGTTGCCAGGAAGGGAGCCACCCGCTGCCTACCGCCACGCCGAAGCCACTTCTAACTGCCAAAAGAGGTAAAAATTCTTATTTACTCGAAATTCAATTTTGAACACCCCCATGACCAAATCAGAGCAAAAGAACGGGCAGATGAAGCGAAAACTGCGGGTAAAGTCTAGTGGCACCGCCGCGGGAAAAGACAAAAACCGCCTCTGGCGAGGCCTTTCCTGATTCCCGTTGCGTGTAATTTTTTCACCATTGTAATCATCATTCCTTTCCCTACAGATTGACCAAAGCAAAACACCCAACAACGAAGGTGAGCTAGCGGAACCGCCGCACTGGAGAACCCCGCCGCTGGTAAACTTTGGTTTCTTGACTTTTTTTGGCCAACCGAGACCTTTTAACGTATTTTCTCGCAATGACTGGTACGAAACTGGCCGAAAACAGCCGATCCGAGGCAAACTGCCGCCACCAGTGGCGGCGTTGTCGCTGGAGCACGGCGGAGTCGCCGTTCCAGAATTCCGAAATTGGCCAAAAAGGGTTCCTAATGCTGATTTTGGGTTTTTTGAAATATTTCTTGGTACTTGAAGCACGTTTTAATCCTTAAAGGAAAATTCAGAGAACCTAAGGACCGCCAGTAGGCGCAATCAAATGTTAGTATTTTGGACATCAATTTGAATAAGAATCCCTTACTTTATTACCTGTTATGGACTTCAAGTTTAATTCTAAATAATACGGTATTTCGTGAAATTTAAAAAATATTAATAAATAATTACAGATTACTAATGGAGTCGAAACCGGTTATTTATTATTATTTGCTATGTTTAAGCGATTACTTGATTTTACATCTTTCGAATGCATGATAATACACTAGAATTGATATGATGATGCGATTGTATTTTTTTTATGCATGTATTGCTTATTTTATGTGATTATAGTTGAATTGAGAAACTAGAAACTAAAGACAAACGAGAAATTATTTGCTTAAATGGATGGATGAACGACAGCATTACTGGATATCTGAGAGATGGTGAACGGACCAGGTACATAGGGAACCCTACCGTGAACGTTGTCATATACTGAACGGGATATCAAGATTTGGTAATTTGGCGCTCATAGCGGACGGAATATTGAGGGATAGTATCTTTTGGCTCTCATATCAGACAGGATATGGCGACGGCTCATTAATTGAAAATGTTAAAATAGGGTTCACGCGTAGTGGGGACATCCCTATGAACCCTCACGGATACCAGTAGGCTGAATAAAGGGAAGGTTGTTGTTCCAAGTGATTGTATATGAAATTATGGTATGCGTTATATTATTGACTTTGTAAGTTATTTTTTGAAATCTCGCTATGATAAGAGTGAGGTAAATTATTTTATTTATGACAAACGAATTTACTTAAATTAAGAGCTCCATTAGTTGTTTTGATGATTTTTACCAACCTTCATTTCTGTGTCGGTGAGTAGCGTAATATTCTTACTGTACTACTGTAACTCATTCTTTCATTAACAATTTTAGATCAAGATGACCAGGATTCAGAGCTCAATTCCAAGAGGGTTGCGAGTATAATGTCCAATTACTTATTTTTCGTTTATTTCTTTAATTTTTCATTATTTCTTTTAAAATTGTCATTCTCGTAACCCTATTAGGTATCTGAATTATTGTGTAAGAAATGCAAATCATAACTATTTATTTTGCCTTCGCATTCAATTCATAATTTATTTTCTTTCAAGTTTACGGGTCATTACAGTTGGTATCAGAGCCGCATTCCTCGGAACCATGCCTTATACAAATCCTTATAAAACACCAAAAACAATAAATTATCACTCAACTGTTTCTTATGAAATGCAGGTACAGATAAATGAGGAGATGAAAACCCCCACTAAACCGAGTAGCCAAGGAGGATTCGCTTCGAGAGGTTGTTGACCGGGTATTTGAAATACTGGAGAGACTCATTGCTGCTCAGCAGGCCCGGAAAGAAAGGAATGAGCTACCTGACCTTCCCCCGCTGCCACAGGTTGAGTCACCCCTGCAGTGAGAGGATCCCGAGCCACCCATGTACGATCATGCTCCTCCACAGTACCATCCAGCACTACCATAGTATGATCTGGTGCCCCAACCACAGTACCACCCGTCACCACCATAGTATAGCCTGGTACTCCAACCGCATCACCCGGCACCACCACAGTACAATCCAGTGTCTCCACCGTATCATTCAGTACCACCACAGTACCATCCAGTCCATCCCCAGCATAATCCAGTCCCTCTCCCATGGGACTCAATTTCTCTCATGATGGACGTAGGCTACATTGAGAGGTATAAAAAACTAAATCCATCTACTTTTGCAGAGGTATCCTCCTTTGAAGAGACCAAATATTAGTTAACTAAGATAGAGAAGGCCTTCACGACTCTTGGGGTGATTCCCGAACAAAGAGTCATACTTGCCACCTACATGCTGGGTGGAGAAGTAGGCCGCTGGTGGCAACTCAAGCAGGCTACCCTGCCCGTTCTTGTCACTTGGGAACAATTCTTGACAATCTTTAATGCAAAGTACCTTTCAGAGCATCTCCGACATCTGAAAAAAATAGAGTTTGCACACCTGGTCCAAGGTGACATGACTGTATCAGAATATATTCGAAAGTTCCTAAAATTATG